AAATAAATAAACTCACACATACATACATATGCATTTATAAAATTGTGTCTAATGTAAGTATAACATGATAAAAAGTAACCGTAAAATGAAAAAAATTGGAAAATAAATTTTAGTACTCATATTAAATGTAATGTAACTCGAAAAATATTTGTTTAAATGAAAAAATATAGGATACCTTTTTTGTTTAAAATTATTTTTTAAATAACTTTTGTACGAAACTTTTTTTTGTCAGTTAAATATTTTTTGAGAAAATTAAAAAAGCTCATATTTTTGAACTTTTGCGAGGCTGTAAAAAAAAAAAGCTCAAGTCCAATCGATGAGGACTTTTAGTATGTCATTATACATATCTTAATTCAACTTTTAAAAAAAAAAAAATTTGGTTGGGAATTTTTTCCGCCATTCGCCAAAATTACTCCTTCGTTGACTGGCCTAATATATATAATTGATGACACGCGCGCGTCTACGGTTGGAAAATATTGTTGTCAACGAGAGGTGAGCGGGGTGGGGCGAATGCGTTACGACAGTCTAGTCTCAAGGTCATACACGACGGGATACGCGACATAAATGTTGTGTTAAAAACAAGTTTGAATCCATTAAACGCTTAAGATTTTTCCTTAAGGGTAATCAGCGCTCTTAGTGGTATTCATTTCGGTTATATTAGCTTCGATGCGAAGCTGATAAGGTATTGGTTATACTAAGATGTGTTTTTTTTTTTTTTTTGGTCTGTTATTACTTTTTCTCAGCTCTCACCGAACCGATTTCTTTCAACGATACGTCAAAAGATCACAAATCGTATCTAGTCGAAGACATTACCCTCAAAAATTGAAAAAAAATCCCTCGTTCCCCGTAAATGGGGGAAACCTCCAAAAAAATTACAAATTTAAAAATCGCTAATTTTCGAAATTTTTTCTACTTAAAAGTGCCATAACTTTTTGAAAGATGTATGGATCAATATAATTCTTTTTTTATATAGATGCATGATATCATTACCTTTCATTTGGTATATTTTTTTTGTAAATGTGACCATTTACCTGCCCTCAGGGGGGGATTTAAAATGACAACTTTTTCACAAAAAATTAATTTTTTCAACTTGACTTTTGAAAATGTTCCGGAAAGTCTGACACTTTTATATATATCTTAAATTAAAGCTAATGTAATATACTTTATTATGGAAAAAAAGAATGCTATTTTTGTGTGAAAATTTTCGATTTTGTATTTTTTATTTTTAACTTTATAATACTATAACATATTGAAAAGTGTATGGATCAACACAATTTTTTTATGAGAAATAATATTTTTTAATAATCCCTTTTTCATTCGACATACTTTATCTTAATCAAGATATTAATAAGGAACTAGCAGATCATGTAGCTTTTGGAATAATACACCAATTTTTTTAAAATTAAACACAATCTAAAGATTTGCATCGAAGCGTTTATTTTTGACAGTGATTATAATCACTGACAGATATCATTATACTTGATCCAACTATACCACGTCACCACTGTGCCGCGACCCCACTGTGCTTGGTTTTTTTTTTTAATACGCTTTTATTAGTTTCACATGTATGTTGTATGTTGTTTGTATGTAACTTTGTAACTCTCCAAACGCCACGCGTTATCGCATATTCCGTTGTCTAGACTAGACTGTTATACGCATTCACCCCTCCCCACGCCTCGCTCACAATACGACGGTACACTATTCCTATAAAAATTTATTTTTAGTTATCGTACCCGTACACGCGTGCTTGTCATCAATATTATATATATGTAAACAAATTTTTATTTTGACTGACCAATAACGCCCGCGTCTAATGCGCCTTACGTATATATATATATATTCCTACCGCCGTTTATACCTCGGGTATAACGTTAGTCCGACCCGCCCGGCCATAAAACACAGCTATACTTAGTGCATGATACTTTTACGTAGTTAAGTCGCATTATTTGTATAAATATATATATTCTAATTACTATTAAAATTAATATATTAACACGATTTATTCTAATTAAGAGATATAAAGTATTCATTCCGATTACGAGGGATGATTTCCGTATCGTCATTTTTCGTCACTACCTCCACGTTCCGGGAGTGAGTAATTTACGCGCCTGCTGCTTTCCTTGGATGTGGTAGCCGTTTCTCAGACTCCCTCCCCAGAATCGAACCCTGATTTCCCGTTACCCGTAACAACCATGATATTGATAGTAACTACTATCATAACATGAAACTAAAAAGTTAAAAATAAATATAGTTTAAAAAACTAAAAAAACACGCTTTTAAAGTACATCGAACTAAAAAGTTAAAAATAATTTTTAAAATAATTATGAACAAAAAATACTAGTATTATTGTGATAAAAGCGTGGGTGCTTTGTGCCATATTTTTCGTATATTGAGCGCCCGACGCTTTTATCACAATAATACTAGTATTTTTTGTTCATAATTATTTTAAAAATTATTTTTAACTTTTTAGTTCGATGTACTTTAAAAGCGTGTTTTTTTAGTTTTTTAAACTATATTTATTTATACGAATGCGTAGGTAGTGTTGACACTAACGAATAGTGGTGGGAATTTTTGTTCCTTTTGGTACAGTTACTAAAAAGTAATGATCCCAGAGTACTCGGTACACCGGTACTTTTACTTTTTTGTAATTGAGTACCTTCATTGCGATCCGTTACCAAAACCAAACCAGTATTTATTTATCATATAAACAGTTGTACCTACGTGGGACGTTAGTATTATTACTGTACCTACAAAATTATAAAAATAGCACGGAATATATTCTACAATATATATATATATATATATATAATGTGATTGGGCAGGATAGCTACGGCAGGACGGTATATATTATCTAAAATAATAATCGGCAGTCGTATAAATTATGTCGAGCAACCAAATCAAGGAAACGCCAAACGTATTATTAATTAATGTTTCTTATTTTTATAACGGTGCAGATTTTTGTTGTTTACATTAATAAGTTGACAATTGTATTTACTAAATTAACCGTTTATTAACAGAATAACACAATTTATCATCATAATTTAAACTATAAAATTTCAATACATAATTTTTTTACGTTGACTTTTAAATACTTTTAAAGTTACTATACATTAAACATTAGGAAATACAATTTTTTAAGTAAATTGGTAAGGGGTGATCAGCTCAGCTCCCATTCTATCTGTGTTCTAAGAAGTGGGCGTTTGTTCCTTATTAGCCTAGGGGCGCTTTTTGGGTAAATCCGGCCTTGCCTGCACAGCACATTAATCCAACATGTTTAACTTCAATATCTGATCCATCATCAACATTAAAGTCATCCAAATTATCCTTATTATGGAAATTTTATAAAGATAAGGTTGAAAAAGTCAAATCCACTCGGTCATCAACTGCATCTCTAATAATAGAGTTTAATAAATATATGCAAGAAAGTTATATAGACCGTAAAGATAATCCTTTAAAATGGCGGTATGAACAAAAACTTGTTTACCCTTATCTCTATAAACTTGTTATGAAACGTCTCTGCATAACTGCAACAAGTGTCCCTTGTAAAAGGATTTTTCAGAAGCTGGTCAAATAATAACTCTTAAAAGAAATCGCTTAGACGCAAAAAAAACATCACAGCTCATATTTTTACACAACATTTTATAGGCATAAAATGTCATTTTATTTCATGATATTTTCATAATAAGAGATTGTTATTTACTTCATTTCATATAAAATTGTTCATTTGTTTAATAAAAAGGTTTAATATTTATTAAACGACAAAAGAACAGCTCTAAAAAATACTTTTATCATGATTAACTTATATAATCTATGATATTATCTTATAGCGCGGTCGCGACTACAATAATGTCGTGAACGGCATCTTGAAATATGTAGTAATACTTAATAGTCTTTTAAATTAGATTTTAAAGATTATATTTTAATGGTGTTTTTGTTTACTTTAAATGTTGTCTTAACCTTGTATTAATTCGTAATTAATCATGTATCTTAAAATATAAAAAGGGACATGAACACAAATAAAATGAGCAGTACTCATAGTGAATGTTACATTGTATTTTTACTTTGACTCTTCCTATTGGTACTCTTCCGACTGACTGAAACTGGACTTAGAAACCCAGTTCACCACAATAATACCAATATAATATTTTTTGAACTTTGAACTGTTAATTTCAAACTGAAACAGTTCGGAATAGTTCATTCAAGTGAATAGTTCGAGGTAAAAGGTGATAATGTGAAAGATGCCTTTTACGACGAACTAACTGATACATATGAGGGCATTACTGGGAACGTGATAAAGATTGTAATAGGAGACTTGAATGCAAAATGCGGATGGGAACCACAATACTTCCCTTGCATAGAGAAAGAGAGTTTGCATAGTAACAGCAATGACAATGGTCAGCGATTGATAACGTTTGCAACATCAAATGGGTTGACTGTTAGTAGTACTACGTTCCCACACAAAAATATTCACAAAGTCACGTGGAAGATAGGCAATTACCTAAGGTATCTATAAAAAAAAATTATATTAATTTGGTTATTTTTCAAGAAGTTATGACAGTTTTAAGTAAAAAAATTTTAAAAATGTCGAAAATTATCGATTTATAAATTTGTAATTTTTTGGGGGATTTTCCCTGTTTACGGGGAACGAGGGAATTTTTTTCGATTTTTGAGCCAAATGTCTTCGACTAGATATGATTTGTGATCATTAGACATATTGTTCATCAAAATCGGTTCAGCGAAAGCTGAGATTGAGCGTTCACAGACACAAAAAAAAAACAGTAAAACCAAAATCTTCTCAGCTTCGCATCGAAGTTAATAATAAAAATAAACACTTCATAGTAAAATTAATACCTTCTCAGGTTCGCATCGAAGGTAACATATAATTTATGTATTAATTAAATAACTACTTTTAAAAATAATGTTAAACGAAAAATTTGATTTACGTTAGTTTACTAATAACTGATAACACAATAATTTTGATAGCGTCATTTTTAAGATAACGTTAAACGCAAAATTTTTATAACGAATTTAATTCCCGTAGTTCTATTGTTTTATTATATATTGATGATCTTATGAAAACATAAATTGTGCGTCTGCTTATGTTTACAATTTAAACTTAGTACAGTTTAGATATAGGTATTAATTGTCGCTTCACTGGTTAATCATAGAATTTAAAGAAATTTCCTAATGTCAAGATCCTAAAAGTTTGATTTTATTTATTTTATAATTATATATTTAGTTCTTTATTAGCTAAAAATATAGAAAGTACTTACTGGTGATATATCCGAGAAAATAGTAGAAGCTATATTAAGAATATGAATATCAATGATAATATCAACTTCGCTTTTGGGTTACTAGACGCAGTCAACTCATGGTTAGATGACAGACTATTCTCTGTTGGTCAGTACTTCTAGTGTATTATTTTTATTGTTTAATTAAGTCAAAAAATTGTTTATAAAGTTATTTGATAATACTTTTTTTAAAGTAAACTATTCTAGTGTTATTTTAACATTTGCATGCCTTTATATTTATCTATTATCTTTGTTTGCAAAGTTACTTCCACTTATCCATCTATACTCTAATATGTATAACAATACTACTAAATCAATCTTCAAATTATTAGGATTTTTCTTTCCAAAATAAAACATTTTCTGAAAGTTCTATAATTTATTAAAATAACCTGAAATGTGGTAAAAAATATGAAACTTCAAATATTTATCTTTCTGGATTATACTTTTAAAAGCTCCTACTGAAACGAATTTGTTTTAAAGAATTGTAAAAATATTTTATTAAATTAATAAAAATAATTATAATTATAAAATTTATTATTTTTTAAATTTAAGTTAATAAGCTATTGGTTTTACTCTTGCTTGTTTTTTTTGTGTCAATGACACAATCACTCGGTTTTTACTGGATATATTTTTTTCAACAATACGTTAAAGAATCACTAAATCTGATAAATTCTCATAAAACACAATATATTCCAAAAATTTCAGTTAACCTATAACAATGCTAATAATTGAAGTTTTTTCTTTTTATTGAAATAACTTTTTAAATTTAGACGGATTATTGCAAAATATTTATTGGCAATAATTCTGACATTTTACTTACTAACAACTTATGTGTTTTGAAATTCCATGTATTTAACGCTGTTGGAGCTTAAAATCATATCAAAATTTCTTTTTAATTTTTAATAATGTTCCAAAACACCTATTTTTTTAGAAATCTACATTAAATTAATGCTAATAAAATGTATTTTGAGATAAAATAAGAAAAATTATTTAAACAATCAATTTCTAAGAATTATTAGACATTAAAACTAAATGTCATTTAATTTTTAGTAAAATTAACACGTTTTGAATAATAGTGGAACATTTACAATATTTAAAAAGAAATCAAATTTAAGATTTTTTTATGTACCATACTATTAAAAAAAGTTGTTCTGATGACATCTATGAGTAATTGAATTGTAGTCAAAAAAACCTGTTGATTTTGGTGAATATGTTAATTTTCTTTTTTTATAAATACGCAGCAAAACCTTTTATAACACACATTTTATTTACTGACAGATATCAATCAATACTAAGAAAATTCCTCAAATCCACTTTGCTGAATCCCTACTTCACTTTACTTTTTAAGAATTAATTTTAGATAAATAAATATTGACAATTATTTGTATATAATAATACTTAAAATTAAATATAAAAATGAAATTCACAAATGCATAGAGTGTTATAAAAAGATCAGTTTTCTTAATAATGGTTTATTATGTTTAAAATTAGAAGTAAATTTACATTTATACATATAATTACACATAATAAATTTTATATATTTTTTAGAAAGAATGGAAGATATTGATTGTAGTGAAATTGAAACTTTTATCTCAGAACAATTACATGTGAAAATTGGCCAATTATCAAAACATGGACATCGGTTATGTTTTTTCATATTTTATGTAAATTCTAAGTTAAACCATTGTGCTTGGATTAAAAATGATGTGTTATTACAGGAATGCCTTTCTCGTTACATTCACGGCAGATCTATTTCTACTGAAATATTTTTAAAAATATCAAAGTGCTTAAATTTATTACCATTTTATCTTCTAGAAATTATAATGAATACTCCATATGTTTTTTGTCGTGATTTAGTTGATATAGCTATAAATGAGTTAAAAAATGTAGAGCCTGTAACTCATTTGATTTCATCTGAAGAACTAATTATTGCATTAATAAAAAATGTCAAACGTATGCCCATCCAGAGTGATTTATTTGTACCATTTACTGATCATATTAATAAACTTTTATTGGTTTACAACAAAGAAACATTACCTAAAAATATTTCAAAATTAGATCCTGAAGTAAACAAAAAAGAAATAATGAGATATACAGGACATCGTGTAAAGAGCATTTTTAACATTTTAGTTAATGTTATTAAGTACATGAACACTCAAGATAATTATACACAATATCCCTTACATAAATTAAAACCTCTTCGAGACAAATGTATAAATAAAAGTACAACTAATGAAATGTTTCAAAAGTTTCTTGATATAATTATTCACAAATGCATGGATTTGTGTGATTTTAGCATAAGCACATGGCTTAGTTGGTATGAAATTGAAGTTATTGAAGAAGACACTAATTTACAAGCAATTATTGGTGAATTGTGTTTTGATTTATGTGAATGTATTAATCAAGGATTGGTAGATCATAAAGAACTATTAAATTTTGGCCCTGTTCTCCATAACATCGCTGTAGAAAAAATTAATTATGATGATGTTGATAGTAATGACATAGATGGAATTATTGAACGAGTAAAAACTACTAAAAAGCATATAAATGGTTGGTTAAGAAAGTTGATAGAAAATAAAAATGTGTTTACTCATAAAGAAGCAATAGAAACATTGTATGATAGTATAGACCGTATTGATTATTCATGTTTTAAGCGTGTCATTAATCAAACTATGACTTACTCTAAGTGTGGAGGAACTGTTTCTGAAACAATTGCTAACGTCATTTTCAAAGGTATAGGACATTTAGATAATGAAGACAAGATGAATATTTTAAATCATTATCTTTCAAATTACTCATCTAATGAGTTTTTTATATCTAGTGATTTTAATGAATTACTACAATTTGTATTGCAAAATGAAAAAAATAAAAAAGCCGATCAAAGTGTAAGTACTTAAGACTCTTAAATTTATTCAAGTAAATTATACAATGCAACTTTTAATTATAATTTTATCCTAGGATTTGTTAACTAAAACAATATGGCTAGTTTTACAACAACCAAAAAAAATGTTACATATATTTTTATCTCAATACATAAAAACTTCTGATGATCTACCAATAAAGTCATTACATGAATCTAAAACAATATTGCATGGCGTTTTTATTAATATTCATAAATTTTTGGATGTGTCATATATTTATCAAGAATATCAGGAGTGGTTAAGTGTAGAAAACCAATTAAATGATTCTGAAAAAGCACTGCTTTATCAATGGGCAAGTAAAATAATATTTATTTTATTCACTTATTACATAAGTTATTTTTTTAATAAATAAAATACTTTCAGATATATCTATATCTTCAGATTGTTCCAAACTTATCAATTGCGTTATCATAGGGGAAATGAGTGTCATGTTCTTCTATGACAAAAATAATTATATGGCTAAAATTCAATTTTTTTTTTTTATTTGGAGGGGGAAGAGAACAATTTTTTCACATTATAGCCCCCCAAGACGAAACCCTAATTACATCACTGAAACTTATTGCTTAGTTCATTTTCAGCATAAAATCACTGTTCAAAGATTGTAGCTACGCTGACTACTTTTATTTAAATTATTGTAATTTTATTTTAATAACCTTAGAACTTAAACTATGATTATTAATATGAACTGAATAATGAATTTGAAATATTAATAATATTGATATATCTGAATGTTAGTTATCCTATTAACTTTTTGATTCATAAAAACTTCAATACATTTATAATTGTATTAGATGATTGATGTTGTCAAATCTCAGAAGCTTATAAAACCACATAATTTTCTAGTTGAAATTTTACTCCCATTATTAGAACCATCACATAAATATGAACATGTGGTTATACTAATTAATTTAACTAAGGTATATAAAATATAATTAGTTTTGGTTTTCATTTTGTTATTATTTTTATTAGTAAAAATAAATTTTGTAGTTTCTTATTGGAGAATGTAATGTTTTAACTCAACCTGATCTTGAAATATTAGATACATTAATATTTCAGTTAGCAAAAATATTAGATGATGCACGATGGAATGTAGAAACGTTTTCACCATGTCGAGTAAATTTATGTGAAAAAATTATTGCTACATTACAACCACTCCTTCATCATGCATCATACTTAGGTATACTTGTTAATTGTATTACTATTATTTATAAAAAATGATAAAAATAATTATACTGATTTTTTAGTTAAACCAATTGATTTGGATTCTTTAAGAGTAAAATTGGCACCTTTTCATTTGATAACTCGAGCTCATTTTCTACGTTTATGGACTTCTGATTATATTACAATTGATGGAATGGATGAGCAATTTATTATGACTATTCAATCACAAAGTCACATATCATTTAGTAATTTAAATGCAATATCCTCCCAAAAAATTAAGGAAGAATTTATTTTTAGTATTGCAACGGTCAGTCCTCAACTAATTTTTTTCTAAATATCTTAAATAAAAAAGTAATCATTAAACTTTTCTATGACTATTGTGCACAACTATATACATTTTATCTTTAAAACTATTTCAGAACATATTTATTTTAAAGCATAGAAATGTGTTAATAAATCTCATTTTTAAATATATATATAATTTATCATTATAATAAAATTAAATTGTTATTCTAACAACTTTAATAGTTATCTAATTTTTTTAAATCACTAAAAATTTATTATTAGGGTATACCTTTATTATCAATGATTTCTAAAAATACAATATTGTTTGAAAACCCATAGTATTTTTAGTTCATACATATGAAGTAGTATTAATATACCAACTATCTTTAAAATGCTAATTACAAATTTCTTTTTTTTTTTGATAAAAATATAAATATGGAGCGATTCTGTTATCACAATCTACTTCATTAATAGCTAAATAAAAATTACATTAATTATTTATGTCTTATTATATTATTTATTTGATTTATTAATGTTTAACTTTTTTTAAATTCAATCCTTCTATAGATATCTGGATAATTTTCTTTTAAACACAACATACATATATACAATATTATAAACGTAAAAATAACTGATATAATTGGATAATTTTCGATCATATAAGAAAGTTAAATATTTATTTTGTTATTAAAAATAAAGTGAACTTAAAAAATAGCTAATCATTGTTAAATACAAAAATATATGTAGCTAAAAGTGCAAAAAAAATTTTTTACATAGCAAGTCCTAAAATGGTCCATAACAACAGAATTCTTATATACTTATAAATAACATCAATGTAATAATATAAAGAAACTTAAAAAGAAAATTGTTATAAATCCTAGTTTATAAAGAGAAGGAAGAGAAGAGGTTAATCAATGAAACCCATTTGCTACAACCCTTTATTATTTTCTTATTACTAAAAATCTAAAATGTCTAATAGAATAATAAATAATATTTTAATATTTTTTAAAAATATATTTAAATTTGCAGTATTTACCTAGATGTACATTACATGAAATGAAAAGTTTTGTTGCTAACTATCTAAGTTCAGCTAAACTAGAAAACATACTAGAAGCAACCATATTTCTTTTGAGTTGTATTGTTAGCGCTTTTATGAGAATTATTGTCTATTTAAAGACGGCTATTCAAAATGAACCTTACAATAATGAATGTTCGTGGGATTATTTAGAAAATGCAGTTATAAATTTTTTAGAAGTTTTAAATGTAAGTTACTTTTATAATAATTATTTTCATTGAATAGTATAATTTTAAACTCTTTAATTTTTTTACTATCAAAGGAATTTAATTTTGGTTGCTATAAACCTATTTGCTATAATATTTAACTTCAGTAGTTGTGAAAAACATTGATTACCTTCAATTAATGAATGTATCTACACAACTTAATAATAACACTATTTGTTGTTGTTTATATTACATACCAATTGCTTACAGCAAATATTGCTTGTAGCAGCCAATAAATATTTTAATTGTATTAGTTTCGATGCGAAGCTGAGAAAGTATTTATTTTACTATGTTGTGTTATTTTTATTTTTGTATCTGTTATCACTTTTTCTTAGCTCTCACCAAACCGATTTCTTTGAACGATACGTCTAAAGATCACAAATTGTATCTAGCCGAAAACATTACTCTCAAAAATTGAAAAAAATTCCCTCCTCCGTAAGGGAGGAAAATCTCCAAAAAAAATTACAAAATTTAAAAATTGTTAATTTTTGACATTTGTATTTAAACTACCATAACTTTTTCATAAATGACCAAATCAATATAACTTTTTTTTTTATATAGATGCACAATGTCTTTATCTATCATTTGATATATTTTTTTTATAAATCTGACCCTTTACCTGCCCATAGGGGGGATTCAAAATGACAACTTTTTCATAAAAAATTAACTTATGAAAGTGTTTTGGAAATACTGATACTTATATATATACCTTAAATTAAAGCTGATGTAATATACTTTATTACAGAAAAAAAAATGTCAGACTTTATTTTGTCTTCATGGTGAAAATGGCTACCGAATGCTATTTTTGTGTTGAAATTCTCGATTTTTTATTTTACATTTTTAACTTTAAAATGCTATAATTTTTTGAAAAATATATGGATCATTATAATTTTTTTAAGATAAGTACTATTTATATTCTTCTTTTATGTGGCATACTTTTTTTTTAATTGGACTATTACTCTTTATACAGGGGGGTTTCAAAACTTAAAAATGCATATAGAAAATAGAACTTTTTTAACTTAATTTTTGAAAATGTTACGGAAATGCTGACACTTTTATATGTATCTTAAATTAAAGCTTATGTAATAAAATTCGGACTTCATTTTGTTTTCATGGTGAAAACGTACATCAAGGTTAATAAAAAAATTCTTTTTTATATACCTCTTTCATTTGACATACTTTTTTTTTTTAAATAAAACCATTTCCCTTTAAATATTTATATATTATATATATACAATGTATAAATATATTTATTCATATATTTCACTTATAAATCATAAAACTTGTCGTCAGGATATAAATAAGGAAATAGGAGATCATTTAGCTTTTGGAATAATCTATCAATTTTTTAAAATTAAACACTATCTACAGATTTGCATCAAAGCGTTTTTTATGATAGTGATTTTAATCACTATCAGGTATAATTATATTTGACTCAACTATACCACGTCCCTACTGTGCTGGGTTTTTTTAAATGTTTTAATACAATTAGTTAAATATCTCTGGATAAAATAATAGTGTTCTTATTATAACATTGAAATTAAAAAAAACCACAAAGAAAATATTTTAAAGTATGTTTTTAATAAATTGTTTAATAAACAATAAAAAGAAATAAGTAAGTGATTGACACGGCTGCCATGGATTGGGTGACATAAATGTACTGAAAATCATGTGAAAAAAGAGGCAAGAGAAGATTAGATTCCGTAACCCAAGGTGTTGTAGAAACTAACTAATAGGTCACTGAGTACTCATGATTTAGATTTCAACATGTTTCTATACAAGTTGATAATATAATATGCCGCTGAGTGAAACACATTACCATGTTATACTCTCCCTAGATCCATACACAATGATATTATTTTTGGGGGGAGGAACCATTAGATTACCCAATGAAAATTACCCCTCAGGATTTCATAGAGAGACTGATCTCTATCTCCCACAGTGAAAATTCTGAACATTGTCATCCACATATTGGGCACCAGTTGACAAAACCACCAGATATTGAAATGTACTGGAAATCATGTGAAAAAAAGAGGCACGGTATTAGATTAAAACCTACCAGTGCCTGAGCAAGCGGGGCACCTGCCCTGGGCCCTGCAGTAGGCTTAGTTTAATTTGTCTTTAGCCTATCTACTTTTTTGTCGGTTGAGCAAAAAGTCTTTAAAAAAAATTTACTACTACTAGGACCACACGGCTAACTTGCCCCGGGCCCCACAAAACTTTCTGCGGCACTGAAACCTACAACCCAATGCGTTGTAGAAACAAACTTTATTAATAGACCAATGATAATATAATTCAGATCCCAATACACTTCCTTTTAAGTTATAATATATGTTATAATTAACATAATACTGGGTCATGATCTATATTTTTAAATATCCGTTTAGTAACTTTTAAATTTAATGACTTTTATACATTTTTGATTTTTAACAGACCTCAAGAATGTCTTGTGTATATGAACAAAATTCCAATCCTACATTAATTTATCATGTAGTAACTAAATTAATAATGATCACTAAACAATTTGAAAATCAACGCCAATTACCCTTGTTGGTTGTCATTCGTCGTCTTATCGATCAATCTCTTAGACGTTTAGATATTGAATTAATCTCTAAACTTTTGGCTCAGATTGCTACAATGAAATCAAGTAATTCCAAAGTAACACTTGGCGATACAGTTCAAGAACTATTAGAGCAACTAACCTTAAGAACTCCCAACCAATCATCTCAAATTGAAAATTAGTACAATATCAAAATAAAAATTTAGATGAAATATTTCAATATTATTAAGTGTTATTTATTGTTACTATTTTTTTTGTATTAAAAATATTGTTTTGCAATTTATTGTTATTGTTATTTTTACATTTTATATCCAATTATAAAAAATTAAGTACCCAGGTTTTCTTAAAATTAAAGAGATCTTTTTTTAACTAAAAAATTACTAACCCCAAAACACAGCTATATGACTTATTAAAAGAGTATATTTATCACTAAATAAAACCTCTTATTGAATATAAGATATGTAGATATTTTAACAGTTAAATCAAAATTTTATTTATATTATTATATGTAAGCATTTCGGACACTTTATTTTGGATAATTCAGCCTTCTTATAAATTTTACCAAATTTTCACGTATGCCTTTGAATTGATTAAAGCTACTGTTAAGACTAATTGACAAATTCTATCTTATATATTTCTAATTAGATCTACAATATACATAAGATTCTGATGTACATTGGAAATTATAGTAATTATATAGTTCAGAATAAAATTTGATCTACAAGTAATTGATATAAGATAATACAAGATAAACTTAAGCTTAAGTTAAAATAACCATCAAAACAGTGTCTTAGATAAGATATCACAACAAATGAGTAGATTATTTGTTTTTAAATTAAATCTGGTAAAAAACAATGTTCTAGTTTGTAATTGATATATTGGGATTGAATTTATACAGTAAATTTATTGAGTTGGTGACTTTCATTATATGAAAAGTTACATTAAATGGAAAAAAAACCAAAAATGAAGTATATCATCTATTCAAGGAAGGGTGTTATAAACTCATTTAATTTGGATGAAGAAAATTTATTTAACAAATTATACTATAAATGCTTAAAAATTATTATATAAATGTATTCTAATTAATTTAAAATTACATGATAATTTTATAAAGTCAAATTTTTTTCAAATATTTTAATTAAATTTGGTATATCTTCATCTATAGTATGTTCTGCATTTATAATTGTATTTACAATAGCTATAGTTGTTTGTACAGTTGCAGTTTTAATCCAAATTCGTCCATTTATACCAATTACAATTTCATAAGGCACATACTTTCCAAGTTGATATAGTAGCGTGTTATCAGACATTTTCAACTTTAATGCATAATTTATACTAACTTTAATTAAAAATCCATTTTCCAGTTGGCCCAAAATAACACTGTTGGCATATTCTACACAACTGATTTCTGGTTCCATATAAGGGGTTGTTACTTTAATACGAGCAGCTAAAACATTACCTATTTTAATGTCAGGCCTATTTTTTTTAGTAGCATTAGTAAATGCCAAGTATGGTAAAGTAGCTGATTCTGTCGATCCAATATCTACTTTATACATTTCTGAAGTTTTGGCAACCACAACTCCAACAACTATATCATCTTTTGACGGTGTATATTTTCTTTTCTGATGCTCAACCCAATAAAATTTACCTTGTTTATTTTTTAAAATTCCACTATTATTCACAAATATATTATTATCGCAGTAATTGAGACCAGGACCAATTATTTTTTCACTTTTCTTACATGAGGTGTCTCCTTTCAAAATTATTTTCGATAAGTCGTTTCCAGGTAATACTGCATAATTGAATGAATCTAGGGTTGTCATTTTGTTTTTTATTATTTACAAAAAAAAAAAAAAAATACATAAAAATTATTTTTAATTTAAACGACTTAATCGATACTTTATTTATCAACGCTCAAAACTTTAATCAATTTTATACTTATTTTGACAGAATAATCAGTAATTTTTTCCGTGGTATTATCACAGAATAAATAAGATTGATAGAGTTTTTAATATTATCTATCGTATGGTATTATCATTTCCCATGCGGTATTTTACAATAATTTGCTTATAATTGCAGCTAACCATACCAAGCCGCATAAAATATTACAACTTTTTCGTTCTCTTCTCTTTTTGAATAAAATTTTTGAAAAATCTAATTAAATTTATTCTATCAGTCAGTTGTAAAATATTTTATCTATTATCTATTAAATATAATATTTTTATCTTCATAATCTCATTTTCTACTCTATTCATTTTCTCATAATATAAAATTCTTAAAGTTCACTTTACATCCATCCACAGAGTACAGTTTACAAAGTATTCAAATCGCCATTGTATTAAAAGCTAAATAAAATTACCTACATTTTTTACTTTCAAAAACTTTGGATACACGGTTATTTTTAGGGTTCCAACTTTTAATTTAATTAGTTACCATTTAATTTTAATATCATATTAACTTTAATATCGACCTCTAAATCATGAGTTTTATAAATAAGAAAATATCCACATTAATATTGTTACTGCAGTTTTTTATATATACATTCTTGCATTGGGTAAATTCCTTCTTTCCTAAAAAACATTGAATATATATATATATAAGGAATTCAATGAACTTTATCTTTGAAGCATAACTAAAAGCTATTAGTTTTACTAATATTTTTTTTGTACCAATAAAAACAATTACTTCGCTTCTATTGGACTACTTTTGCTAAGAGATACGAAAGATCACAAAATGTATTTAAATGAAACTATTGGCGCCATAATTTTTAAAAAAGCCTTACAATCCCTGTAATGGAGAGGAATGCCCTAAACAATTACAATTGTTATGAAACAATTAATGTTAGTGTATTTATTCCTCACTTTATATTAAAAATAAAAATATTTATTGGCAATACTTCAGACATTTTACATACTTGCAACATATTTTTGAAATTCCAACTATTAAACACTGTTAAAGCTTAAAATCATATCAAAATTTATTTTTAATTTTTAATCATGTTCCAAAAAGATTTCCATTTTTTAGAAATCTACATTAATTTAATACTAATAAAATGTACTTTGAGATGAAAAAAGGAAAACTATCTAAATACTATTTCTAGGAATTATTAGACATTAAACCCAAAAGTTTTATGATTTCAATTAAAATTAACACGTTTTAATATAAAATTAATACGTTTTTTAGTGTTTTGAATAATAGCGGAATGTGTATGTATATTATTTAAAATGAAATCAAATTTAAGATTTTTTTTCTGCATGATACTGATAAAAAAAAAGATGTGCCTTTTGGTTAATATACTATTTTTAAATTGGCATTGATTTAATACTAATTAATAAATACCTTTATTCCACTACACTGGTTTAAAAATATGGAATTTGGAGTCGTATTAAATGGAATTTAAATCTTAAATTTAGAAGTAGATCCTAGTTTTTTTCTTATTTTAGCTATAAAACATATTAAATATTAATCTTAATATTTTTTGATTCAAATTATCTAAGACATAATTTAGACCATTAATAAAATAAAATAGATTATTACTTAGAAAATATTATAGGACATGTGATAAATAATTGTTTTTTGATATATAACACACAATACTCAAGATCACAACAATTTTTATATAAATAATATATCAAACAAAAATTAAAAATACATCCATTAAATACAAATACTTTTTTAACAAAAAAAAAATATATATATATATATTACATAATTATGCCATTGAAAAATGAAAGATTAAATATATTTACTAATACTTCTAATAAATAATATCTAGAATGCACTTATATTTAAAGGATATAATTTTTTAATCACATGACCCATTACATGTTGAAAATAAGAAATTTGAGTAAAGTATTACAAAAATTTAGTCAATATACAAAAAAAAATAAAATAAAAATCTGAAAAGAAAAATATGCCCAATAAGTGTCATCATGAATGAAATTATTATAATATGTAATCTTTATTTATTTTAATCATATATTACATTATTAATTAATCATATATTACATTATTAATTAATAATATAATTCCATATTATACCAAAAATATTAAGTTCATTAATTTATTTTTGAAAAAAGACATTCAATTATATTAAATGTAAAAACCAATCAACACTTATATAAACCATAATATACCTTAAAATAATTATAATGGTTATCTTGTGAAAAATGATTTAATAAAACATTAATTTATTTCAACCCAGTCATTTGTACAATTTTTTTTAAGAGCAAAATGAATTATACTTCAATTAGACAAAAAAAGCAAACATTACATAAATTATAATTAAATATATATATACACATATATTAGAAAAATACATACATATATATTTATTTTGTATACTTAAATTAATCTTGGTAAATAAAATTTATATTTGTTTAATATAATATAAAGGAAAGAAATGAAAATAAGAAGACGTAATTATAGGTACTAATTATGGGTAAAATATCAGTTATAGAAAGTCAAAAAAGTCTAGATGGTGTTTTCCATTCAATTCCTAAAAGTAAAAATATTAGGAAACAATTGTTGATGGCTTGTCTACATTTGATGCAATTCCTTCAGAGGACATAGTTGCATTGCCTACTGATTTTTCAATAGCTTTTGAATTTGATTCAATTTTTTCCTGTTCTGTTGTATCATTATTGGAGTTATTTAGAATAGTACTACAGTTATTTATTTCAGACTCTGTAAGGTGATTTTTGCCCTCACATAGAATTTTTTTATTTTCTTCTACAGCAGATTTTGTTATAGATTCAGCACCATTTGTTTGTTTACTATCTGCGTCTGTGGTTCCATTAGAAGAAGAATTACTAACTCCATTACTTCCTTTTTCATTATTATCTGAATGTAAATCAATATCTTTTGCAGGTAATCCATTTTCAAAATTATTTACTTCACCTATTTTTACAGATTCTTCTTCAATTTTTTCAACTTGAGAATGTATGGAATCTTCTTTTAGTAATTCTTGTTTTGTTAATTCTACTTCATCTTTATTTTCTGAAGGTAATTCAACATCCATTTTTTCCTGTTCTTCAGAATCTATACTAGCATTATCAATAATAACTTTTTTAGGGTCAGAAGTACCTGTAATTACTATTGGAGTTTCTTCATCTTTTTTAGGGATAGTTGTAACTGCAACAGTATCTACTTGATCTGATTCTGTTTCTACATTGTTAGATATTTCATTATCTATATCTGAATCATTCTCATCAACTGTATGGTCATCAGTTTTTGACTTTTTAGCTATAGGTGATGGTCTTTCTTCACTTTGTTTACGTTTTTGCCTTTTTGATTTATCTGTGGTTTTAGGAGTTTTCTTAATAATTTCAGGCTTTGGTGTAGCTACCACTCCTTTGGCTGCTAATCTAGAACTTCTTCTTCTTCCAATACCACTTTCTTGATCCATTATTATACTATATATATATATATAAAAAAAAAATTAAATTAGATTATATATCCACCACAATTTGTATAAAATATTTTATTATAACTATTGTAAATTAAGAAGCAACACTTATTTTACTTTTTATTATATTACAGCACTTTTATTGTGGACTCTATCATTAAACTTAAGCTTATTTATCTATGTTTTCTAAACCTTTTTTTAAATATATTACCCTATCATTTCTAGCTAATGAAAAATGTAAATATCATTTAGTATGTATCCCTCCTTTGAATGCATACAGAAATCAATTAAGATGAATAAATTTAGTTTGGAATTATAAAACTCTTAAAATGTTTCCAAAACTTAATATAACATTAGGAAGATGTAATAAACTTCCAAATTATTTCTAAGTTTTTCAAACTCGTGGTAAACATAAACATATAAAAGACAGGATTAATTAATTAAAATATTTTATTATAATTTCGCTTGGCTTGTTATTAATTATTAATATGTATAAATAATATGGCTAATACTTCTCTCTATTATTAAATAGAAAACAAATGCCATTCTATATTATTAAATTTTTGTTAACAAATGTATGTTTAGCCTCAAATTAATAACTTTGATATTTCTAGATACAAAAATTAAACGGTAACTCACATATTTTATTATACAAGTACCAACATTTAATAAATATAATATATAGATTGTTTATGTGAAATGTAAATAAATGATACCAATTATGATTTCAAAAATTGATTAAAAAAAGATCTAAACGAACTGTCAGTAATACATTTTAAGAAATGCTTAACATAATATATTGATTTAACAAATTTTAATTCTTTTTTCTAATTATAACACATGTTTTCTTAGAAATTTTTAACATTAAAAACTAAACTTGAATATAAGTAGTTAATTATTTCATTAAATAACACTTAGCTATTAAATATATAGTAATTACTCTTTACTTATTCAATTGTTATAAATTATTGTGTATTTATCCATTAACCTTAAACACTTGTTAATTTAAATGCATTGTTGATAACCAAGTGAATTCTAGACTGGGTCCATAAAATAAATACTAGTTTTAAGACCTGATAGTACATTTCAGTCTTTTGAAGAGAATATGATAAGATTATAACTATCAACAAGTACTTTTAAAATTGAAAAAATAATTAATTTCTATTATATTTTATTTTGCATAGTTATTAACTAGATCATAATTCTGGCAAACTATATATTTTGAACATGCTTTTTGGTTAACATTTTTTATTAATTTTAAATTTAAAACAACATAGAATAAAATAACATTAAAAAAAGTATTTTAAATTAAGTTACCAAAATATTAAGATATACATGTTTAACAAAAAATTAAACTAGTATAGAAAATAGATTTGTTAGAAAACAAATATGTACTCAAATCCCATTTTCCATAATGGGAGCTCAATTCTTGATAAATACAGGTAACAAATAGAAATAAGCTATTAAAACTAAATTCAACAACAAAATATTCTTGATTGTTTGATAATCATAAAACAGTAACAAATTTTTTATTTGAATCACATACATTTTTAGAATTTTTTTTTTTTAACATTAGGTTTAATCTTAAAAAAATCAATCTTTACTACTTAAATACAACAAGCTACTTCAATTTCAAAAAAGCCATTGGGGACGCTATTGAATTTATAACTTACTACTATATATTTTTCAACTAAAAAAAATAAATTTTAAAGAGTGATAATTATATTAAGCAAAATATATACCACTTACAATTTATTAGTATACTAATGAGTGTACAAAATCTCTTGCTTTTTTTGAGCAGAAGTAAATTAATACCAATGCGGTATCCTCTAGGGTTAAGAATACACAAAAATAAAAACAATTAATCAGTAAAGGACAAGTATTAACTCACGACCGGGTTAACACCAAACACAACAAAAGCAATAACAAATACAATACAAACACACACACGCACACACACGCGAGCAAAAGACGCGCACAACCGCAACAGCGAGTTACTTTGAAATTGATAATGAAAACAGTGGTCAGCGCGGAGAAGAGGCTCAATACAAGCGCAAAATCACGCTTACGCGCGCGCGCACCCACAGGCACACATACATAAGCAATTAACGCATTGTGTTTAACATTAAACAGTTCTGACAGTAGTGGTAGCCGGCCAAGTACAGTGCCGGTTTTAATACAGTGTAGCCAATCAACTTATTACCCAACGTGAATAGCACGCGCTAGTAATTTAATAAGTTATATAACCTTTTTAAAAAAAAGTCTACACATAAACAAATAATTAAGAACTTATGACTTTAGTTCTATACTATATTTAAAAATCATATTTGAAATAAAATACAATTTTTCTTTCAACTTAATAAGACTATTTAATATTTTATTTTCTTTCAGTGAACTAGTTCCAGTGTAATTTCATTCATAACACAAACTTGAAACTTGTAGGTATAACACTGCACCAAGTTAGCTTAACCAATAGATTATCAAAAATAACATAATTTGAAAATTAAAAAACCCAGCACAGGGGGTTGCGGCACAGTGGTGCCGTGGTATAGTTGGATCAAGTATAATGATATCTGACAGTGATTAAAATCACTATAAAAAAAAAACGCTTCGATGCAAATCTTTAGATAGTGTTTAATTTTANAAAAAAAAACGCTTCGATGCAAATCTTTAGATAGAGTATAATTTTAAAAAATTGGTGGACTATTCCAAAAGCTACATGATCTGCTAGTTCATTATTAATATCCTAATTAAGATAAAGTGTGTAGAATAAAAAAGGGATTATTAAAAAATATTATTTCTCATAAAAAAATAATGTTGATCCATACACTTTTCAATATGTCATAGCATTATAAAGTTAAAAATGTAAAAAATAAAATCGAGAATTTTCACACAATAATAGCATTCGGTAGCCATTTTCACCGTGAAGATAAAATAAAGTCCGAAATTTTTTTTTTGCATAATAAAGTAAATTACATTAGCTTTAATTTAAGATATATATAAAAGTGTCAGACTTTGAGGGTAATGTCTTCGACTAGATACGATTTGTGATCTTTTGACGTATCGTTGAAAGAAATCGGTTAGGTGAGAGCTGAGAAAAAGTGGTAACAGACACAAAAAAAAAAAAAA